AAATATTTTTGGTCAATCTCCTATTTGACAATTGATGTTACAAGGCCAGCTTGCTAATGAGGACTTAATATTTATTGTAGTAAGAGATATATTCATCTGCATGCTTATTCCTCCTTTAAGAATTGGATCAAGTTCAAAGCTCTTTGGACTAAGCAACAACTGCATGGCTTGCTCCGTACAACAGACTTTCACTTACATCTACCAAAAAGATGATTAATTGCCAGATTTCCCTGCATGGTTTATTATCCCAATTCAGGAGTTGGCAGTGCCTGTTGGAAGTGGATTGTCCCAATCTTCTCAACACTAAAACCACTTTATTGATTTTCACAGACTATCTTTCTACACATTGTAGGCTATTTAAAAATAATCAATATGTAATAACACAACACATATAAAAACAATTTCAATGCGTTGAGTGCAATGTAAGTTCTAACAGCAACATCACTCTTAAGATTCAGCTGTGAGAAAAAGATGGATACAAGCACTACAGGTAACAGAATATCTGGTCCTGTTTTTCTGCTGAAAGAGATACACTTCCATTATTCTACTTACTGAAGGTAAAAAATAGTACAATCTGTTATCATTTCACTAATGAAAAGATACCTGAAAACTAAAATAAATGAGAAGCTCTTTCTGTTTCTACAAGAGTTAGAAAAATAATCTCACTAACTGCTGGAAACTGGATTCAAGGGTACTCCTCTATGTACTATTGGAATAAATTCCATTAAATTAAGCACAGCTTATATCAAAGTAGATTTATATAGGATAAAACTATAAAGTCTTTCCACAACTTTAGTTCCTGCCTTTCACAGATCTTTCCCACAATTAAAAATGAAATTTAATTTGTAATCCTTTTTGCACCCCTGATTATTTGAATATCTGCAGTTGTTGTCCACTCAATAGCTGGATGAGTATTAAAGATTCTGTAATAGATATTGCTGTTCTTCCTCTCACTATGTAATTACAATGGGAAGGGGCACATCCATTAATTCTTTGTCTAACACGTGCCTATTAAAAAATCACATGAGTTTTTCCCTAGGCTCACAGAGACGACCAAATTTTTATCCATTCTAAATTCAATTTTATATGAGATTTTATGTGAGATTAATCTGGGCTGCTTCACTATTTCCAGATATATTCTGATGTCAAAACACTTTTAATTTATTCTTTATCTCTATTGATCTTGAAAAGAGCTATCAGATAATCATTGTGTGCTCCTTCTGATCAGTAACTAAGCACAGAGCACTTCCAGCCATTCAGTGTTTACTTCTTATCTTTTCAAGGTGAACAATTGTATTCATTCATCCCACTTCTAATTCCCCCCCCCATAAATTAGAAAGCAGATTACTAGTATTTCCTCTTTTAAACATGTGTTTGTGTGCACATGTCCATTCAGTGTTTCACAGGATTCCAGTGACTGTACGATAAGGCAGGTTGCTAAAAACAAATAAGTTTCCATGTATTATAAATTTTCAGATTTGTCTGCCTACCATAAAAATCTCTTTTGCTTTCTCAACTCCTAGTGTTGACCTACAAACTTCTGCATTTGACCTCCTTTTACCAAATAAGCAAGTATGCAGCTGCTGTATCAGAAACAGGATTTATTAGCTGAAAGCAGCAAAGCCCCATTCAGAAATACAAAGTCACTGACCCCAGGGAAATTACCCACGACTGCAAGTCCCCCTGTTGCATGTTCTATTAAAGAGTGAGAAAGGAAGGTTGTATTTATTTAAACACAATTCACTTGACAAGATGATGGGATACATGTAAGCAATCTTATCTGTATATTCTGCAATGTATATAATGTGTATAAATTGTTTAACCTGAGATTAATTTTCAGAAAGGGAAATTTGAAGTTGGCTCCACTGAACAATCTGTTTAAAGGAAAAGGGTTATGGTTAGGGATAAAGAACATTCTTTTTTAATAATAAGCCCAGGAAAACATGAACATTCCCATCAAAGGGTTTTTTGTTGTTGTTGCATTTTGGTAATCATGTACTATAGTAAATGTGCAGTAATTTATTATTTATTCATAAACAATAATTCTGCCAGCATTTATATTTGTGTGCTCTATTTTTTTTTGCTTTTGAGACCTCTCATTTTCCAATGCATGGTTTGTCCATCACAACTCGCCTTTTCTCTAAAACTGATTTGGACAGGTGTTTTTTAGATTAGGGGTCCCTAAACCATGAGCCGCAGCCCAGGGGTGGGTTTCTGTTGACATTACTGCTGGTTCTGTGCACGTGCAATTTTGTTCTGTGTGTGCACAATTGCCTGTAAATAGGTCTGAACATTTAAAAAGGTTTTTAAAAAGATGTTGCGGTGACCAAGGAACTGGTTCGGGGGCATGGTGAGCATACTGTCCCTACAGGTTCAGCGACCCAGTCGTCATTTCCACTACCGGTTCCACCGAACCGGTGCAAACTGGTAAGAACCCCATCTGCTGCAGTCCACTATCAGACCATGGCCTATTTGGAACCAGACTGCAAGTGGCAAGCCAGCACACACAAGCGCACACAGATCCCCTTCCGCAAGCAGTGGGCAAGTGCATACATGCTGCTCCACAGTAATATGAGTGGAGCTGTGCACATGCATGTGTGCTTGCTAACCCTCACACAGCTGAGTTTCCCTCAGCTGCCCCCCCCCACCAGGCCACCAAGCCGGAAAGGTAGGGAGCCACTGTTTTAGGTGCCTTATAAAAACAAATCTTTTGTGACATGTCCTCGCAGGAAATGTCATGTCTGTAAATACACCCTCTTTCCATGTTTCTGCAATAACTTTCTTCCTTAGGTTGTGTTTATTTCACAATTAAGTATGTAAATACAAATACGAAAATGCTAAATTAATTTTGCAGTGGGAAAAAGAAAAGAACAGCTTCCTTGATAAAATAGACTAGCTCTTATAAAAAGAAAAAAATGTGTAGCTCAGTGTTGAACTGTGGGGTCCTTGGTACTCCCTGAGCTAGAAGATATTATCTAGTTTGGTAATGAAAGATCTTCAAGAAAACGACTGAGGTTGGACAGCACCAAAGATCCCATAGACTTCAACCACAGAGGTTAGAGAATTCGGAAATTTAGACAGAAATGAGGAGCTTATTTAAGTTTCAATGTATTCTGACCCTCATATTCCAGTTTTGATCAAGATTTGTTTGCTGTGTAAATGCACACAATATTTTTCTCAGATAACAAATTGATATAATTTTTTTAAAATCAAACATATACCAGATTATAGAAAGTTAAGTGTGGCTGTGGAACAATATATCAATTGTAAAAGCAGTCCCACTGAGGTTTTGGTAAGGCTTTATTTTAACAAGATGAAAAAGTTTGAGGGGAGTGCCTTTTTTTAGAGCAGGGAGGCTTGCTTCAGGAAAATAGAATAAGACAGTAAGCACGGGAGGCAGATTGAAATGAGATCCAGGAGTCTTAGAGTGGAAATAAAGTTAGAGACGGGAAGCCAGAAGAAAGAGAAATAGAGGGAGTAAGGTGGCTAGCAAAAGTTGGGCAGAATGGAAAATGTTTGAAAAGTATATGGAATAGCGGCAGGAGAAACAAGACCTGGAAGAGGCTTTAACCAATTGTGGATAGGAAGTCAAACACTATGATCAACTAGTAATCAAACTTAATTTCTTTTTCCACATCATCCCTTCTATAGAGAAAAAGAGGGATTCACCACTTAATTATCAGGTAAATCTGAACTGTCAACAAGACTGAACAATGTTACTGTGATCCAAGGGTTGACAGCCTCGTGGGAAATATATTGATTTTTCTTTATTGTGATTGTATAATTAGTAAAAAAGTAACCAGAGCAGCTTAGTTATAGTTCTGTTTCTGTTGAGTTGTTTTTAATTGGTGCTGAATTTCTCAGGAAGAGATTAAAAACTGGCTTTTCTTTCAAACCATTCACCCTGGGTGGAATCCATAGACAGTTGATTTCCCTAAGATCAGAATCACTAGTCTCTCTTCACATAGAAATCTTATTCTGCTTTTACACTGGCTAATTTCATGTTCAAGGAGTTTCTACCTAGATAATCTGATCAAGATCAGAGGATTTTTCTATCTGAAACTCACAGTCATCAAAATACAAATCATTTCAGCAATTACATGAAATTCCTATTGCAATGTTTTGCACCCATATCATTACTTATATATATGAAACCTTTAGCTTCCATTAAGTTCATGTATTATAGAAAACCAGTTTGGTCTAGTGATTAAAGCACCAAACTGGAAAGCGAGACATCATGAGTCCAAGTCCCACCTTACCATTGTAAACCATCTGGGTGACTTTGGGCCAGTCACTCTCTCTCAGCCTAGCCCACCTCACAGAGTTGTTGCTGTCATTTTCAGGTGGGGGGGAAAATAGGAAGTTTTGGATCTGTTTGTTGCCTTAAATAATAAAGGTGGGATACAAATATATAAATGTATTGGCTTGAGCCATCTCTTCAAATACTTACTTTCAATTTATGCAATTATATTTTAAAGCAGAAGGGGGAATGATATGAAATATAATTCAAAACCTCTTCTTATTTGAGTGCAAAGTATTACAAAAATAAATTTACCAACTTAATCTGCTCCAATGATTTGGACAGAAAAGTAATGCTAGTCTGCAAATGACCTACATTCAATGCAACTCGATTTATAAACATTTTGAATTGTCAAAGGGTAGCTGTATCTCCAAGATACAGCTTCATCTTGCATTAGCCACTTGCATTCCGGTAATGACTAAGAGCTGAAGAAATGAATATAGGTAGTTTTTAATGTGCTGTATATTTTGTAGCTGCCTAGCCAATTAAATGCACTTGTACTGAAATTTAAGGCAGGTTGAAATTTAGAAAACTTGAGAGGTTGGAAGATTTCCAAACAAAGGAAAATATTGAAAATATTATAAAACTTGTTGTTAATAGTCTTTATTTTGCAAGGCTTCTGGGTCCAGAGAGAAAAGTAAAAAGTTTGCTTTTATAAGACTGAAATTTCACAATGTCAAAGGAAAACAATTGTACTTACCCCTTCCTTGGAAGTGTTTCTTGTGTGGGCAAGCATTTCCTGGAGGGCTCTGACAGATAAAGACTGCTCCAGTACAAAATTACAGATGCAAAGATCAGGAGGGACATACTGGAAAAAAAATAGCAACAAAGATCAAACTTTCTTTGTTTTTGGCTACAGAAGGTTTACTCACTGACGTCAGTGTAAGGCTTTTAAATTAGATCAGTTAAATCTGATAGATTAATCCATTATACGTCTGTGAATGCACAATCATTTTATGCACCACAAAATAAATAATGAACCGACCTTACATATCCAAGCTGCCTTTCTCAATATGACACACTTTGTATGTACTGGCTATGTATGTTTTTATTCCCAATCCATCCCAAGTGCACTGTGTTCTATGCTTTGAACAAAAGCCTTGCAAAAACACTGCATATAAAATACAGGTAAACAGCGGGTATATAAATCAATTGCAAAAGCAAAAAAAAATCCATTATACTTTTTATTTTCAGGTTACGTCCCATCCCAAACAATGTAAAAATAGCAATAAGAAGCATTTCAAATGTAATTAGATTATGCAAAAGACCAGTAATAAAAACAAGACCGGTAATTTGGAAAAACTATTTTTAACTATGAAACCTAATAAGGAAGATGCATTTCCTCCATTTCTATGTTCGGATACCATTTAGAATTGCCAAGGTATATGATTTAAGTTAAGACTCCATCCCAATTAAAGGGATTACAGGGTCATTAAAAGAAAAAAGTGATTTAAGTTATTTTGGGAATTTCTCTGAAAAGATCCTTTAAGAATAACTAACTAATAACAAGATTTTTAATCTCAAGTGTTAGCATGAGTAGCCTTATTATTAATATTTTGCTGGCACTTCTTGCTGGCAAGTTGTAATTATGATATTAATTATAATATTTATTATCATAGCTTTTATTTTTTATATAAACATTCTGTACAGGAATATCATAAATCAACTTTCTACATAATAGTTAAGATTGATTGTATGGGGGAGATTTACATGAGAAGGGATGAAGATGACATTCCTTCCTGCTCTTTCCGGCAATCAATTATACTTTTTATTTTCAGGTTAAGTCTCGTTCCAAACAAGGTAGAAATAGCAATAAGAAGCATTTCAAATGTAATTAGATTATGCAAAAGATCAGTAATAAAAGTTGATGTGATTGGGGAGAGTGGTACCTCAAATATCCTAAGCCCTATGTCATGTAGGATTTTAGAGGTCCACACCTTGAAATGAACCTGGAAATAAACTGGGAGACAATGCAGCTCATGGAGCAGAAGTGTAACTGGTTCTGAATACAGACATAACTGCATGTGCCATCATATTTTGCACAGTTGAAGCTTGTGGATGTTCTTCAAATGCAATCCCATGTAGAGCTCATTACAGTAACCCATATGGAGGTGTCCAGGGCATGAGTGACTGAACATGGAGTTTCCTGATGTAGGAATGGCTACCCTTGCACCCAATTCAATCGTACCTCCTAAGGATGACTGCCACCTAGTCTTCAAGCAGAAGTCATGAATACTTAAGAACTTCTAGAGTAAAGCATCTCACACTGATGTCTTTCCCATAGATTTAGATAAGATATCTTCTTTTTTTCACTCCCAGATTCTTGGAAATATATAATGATGTCTTTTTGAATAACACTTTGCCTCCTTTTAATGAACATTTTATAATTGTGATTTTCTGGAAGGATTTCCCTATCCAAATTATTACCCTTTTTTTGGTTAAATAAGATGCTAAAATGTAGACTGCGACTCTGGCATAAAGACCTGAAACTATGATATCATTGACAATTCATCTTTTGCAATTTCAATTTATAAAAATGTGTCACAAGTAAGCTATTAGACTGTTAACTGGATTTTAACTCCTCTATCAGATAAATTAGATTTAATAGTGTTTATCTCACTGGGGATGAAGATATGGTGCAGGCTGAATTTCTAGAGCATGTCTTGCATAAGATATGATTCTTCTTTTCTTTAATTGGATTAAAATATGTATTTTAATCTATCTCCCAGGGTTACTATAAATGGAATTATTTCTTCACATATCCAGATGCTTTATAGTACTCATCAAGAACTCTTACTATCTTATTAATTCAATTTTGGAGTCACTGATCTGTTTTATTAAGCAATTGAAGGACATTTTGGACTTAAAACGGCTGCAGTGGAACATAAAATTGATAATATAGGCTGAAATTTTATGTATTATTGACAACTATCAGTGCCGTTTGCCGAATTTATAGATATAGTTCAAAATTAAAACAATTCCTACATGCTCTAATATTGGGGAGGGGAGGTAGATTCTTTGTTGTCTAAATTATTCTAAAGACTTAATCCAAGGAATTTTTCTTTATTTACTGGTTTATAGAGGCAATTATTTCAAACTATTTCACATTATTAAAATCAGGTGACACTGACATTTGTTCTAGGATTCTCCCATTTTGAGTTAACATTTTTACATTTGTTATTATGACATAGGGAAGAGAAAAAAGGTTTAGATATAATAATGTGATTTGGAATTAAAGAACAGAATGTATCATACATTGATTGTTGTTAAAACATTAGTTTATTCATTCATGAAGATTATACATCACTTTAATTCAGCTGGACAGTTTTCACTTGAACACATCCAGAGAAAAACCTGCCTCTATTCTGCATAATTGGCTCCACTATCAAACTGTTTTTAGTGCCAAGAAATGTATTTTAATAGTCTGTTGAAGTTTAATTCTATAACTTAAATCCTACCAGTCCTCTACTATGGAAGCAGGAAAATTAGGCTACATATTACCTTTAGTCTTGTTTAGAACTAAGATTCTAGTTCACTGATAATCCTCATTATCTTCGCTAAACAAGTTCTATTTATTCATGAAATGTGGTGTCTAGAACTGAACACAATATTCAAGCTAGATTCTAGTCAATGCAAAATAAAATAGAACTATTATTCTTCTCATATGTTCGTGAACTAGAAAAAAGGCCCAAAGAAAACCAGGAATGCTAGTTAAAATTCAGAATGTTTGTTTGTTTGTTTATTAAATGTATTTGCCACTCATCTTGTATCTAAACAACTTGGGGCAGCTTACAGCATTAAAATATAGAAATCCTAAAACAATAAAAATTGAATTATTCCTTTTTAAAAAAAAAAATTTCTGTTGTTTGGTACAAACAAAAAGCCTAAAAGTTAAGGTTCAGTGTTAAACCTATGAAGGAGATTGCAGAAGGAACCTTAAAGTTGATATCTTAGGAAAGAAATCAATATTTGGAAGTAGAAATAATAAAAAAATAAGCAGTCAGGAAAATCAGTTCTCCACATAAAATAATTTGATAATAAAATAATACTGGAAGTTATAGAAAGGTTAATCTAGCCATCCAGGTCTCATTTATCCATCCAATGCAAATCTGCCATCTTTATCACGTATCAGGCACAATAACATTGGGGAATAATATGAACAAGTTTTCTTGTGAATGATGATTTTTTTTAACAGGCATTAAAATTATACTATTTATCTTCCATTTTGTAAAGCTGTTCTGTACAATGTATGAATGTATGACAATCAATTTAATTAAAGTACTTTAATAAGCCTGGGAAATGAGATAGGAGTGGATACTATTAATTACATGTTATTGCAAAATAATTTCCAAGTGATTTGGGCCTGTTAAATTTATTATCAATTTGTGGAATAATTATTATTAAATATCTATGTTAGGCTGTAACCTTTTATTTTACAGTTTTATCTATAGCATCATGTTCTTTGTTTTAATTTAATTGTGATATTTTGGGGGAACAAAATAATTAGAAACCAGAAAATAACAGGTCAGCGTAAGATTTATTCTAATCTTGTTATATTGTCTACTGTTAATATCATTTTCTACTTCAATTAGTCATCTAACATATATCTAAATTTTAGGCCTTCCTAAGAATATCTGTCACTACTAAAATACACTATTGTGAATAATATAGGTGACTATAAACAGGTTAAACAATCACAATTTTTCCGTTTAATTTTTCAGATAAAAGTGAAACAGAAACTAAGAACAAGTAATCTGGCCAAATCAATTGCAAGGCTGTAATCCTATGTGTGAGAGCCACCGGTCTTCGCTTTATGATCACAAATGGGACTAGCAATTCTGTTACTAAGCAACATGGTTGTTAAGCAAGAAAACTTGTAAGCACAACTTGAGATTTTACTGTCAGTTTCTACATTGTTTTGCTATCTCTGCAGATTTTGACATTTTCACAATCCATTTCTTTACTGTGGATTATTATTCTTCCATCAATGAGAAAATCAACCTACTGAGTTTTTTCCAAATTCATTGTCCATAAGTCCCAATAAAAAGAATTCTGGTTTCTTTGCAATATTAACCTTTAAGATCCTTTACATCATTGAATTTGTAGCCAAAAATGTCTTAGTTTTCTCACAAATCCATGATGCATTGTAAATACTTTTCACATGTTCAACTCTGGTTTGAAATACCTTTGTATATTTTTGAAAATTTCTCCGGTATGTTGATACCAATGATGTATCATTTTGAAAAATATTCTCTAAATTATGACACAAATAAATTTAATAGCAATTACCCACATTCTCTCTCAAGTGTCTATCTCAATGTTACAGCCAAAATCAATAGCCCATTTTGTCATGTAGTCTTTAACCTGTTCTTCTGTTTGAACTCTTCACAAACATTTATACTTTTTTGTTACTACACATTCATTATTTGTACACAAGTTCAAGTTCCATTGTTTTTAAATTCCATTGTTTTTATGCATATTATAGCTTTCTTTTCTGTCTTATTAACAATTGAAAATTATGTTCTTCTTTAGTTAATTGTACCCTTGACTTTTATCTTATTTTTCTCATTCTCTTATATTTTCTTCTGTTAATAAATCTTGATATGACTTAATTGATATGACTTATTGATATGACAACCTCTATCTGCTGCTTCTCTTCTGTAAAATGTTTCCTGTGTTGAGGTCAATAAAGATATCTTCAGGCATAACCCATGCTTGCATTTATTCCATATTCTCAATATAGCATTGTCACATACGTAATAAAAATTCAAATCCACATTAACTTTATTATACCATAAGAGCCCATGC